CTGTGTCTCGCAGTTGTAGCACAAGAATAAGGTTGTGCTTGAAATTGATGTCCGGCTGCTCCCTATAGAACTCGACTTTCCTCCAAAAGCCATCACTTCTATAGACTATGAATAGAGGGATAAAAAGATTGGAGAAAATGCATAAACAGTAGAAAAGTGTTGATTCGGAAAATAATTTTGTTTTATATGTGATTTTAATTGATTGCGAATATATTGAATAAAAAGCCATTTTCCACATAAAATCAATTTAACTGTATTTGTATTGAAAAGTATTGTTTCGATTCCATAGAAACTGGGCTTTAGATGGAAAGCTATTCTATGATATAGGAGTCTATCAACAGAGGCTTATGTAGTAATTTGTATGAGATATTCATGTCATTGCGGGTATCGTAGCATACAATGTGTTGCATAAAACTTATTTAGAGTGCTATGAAAGCCTATAATTTAATATGGTTCCAGTATTATGAATGCATTAGTGAATTAGATATAAATTTGTAATTGCTTTAAGGGATATACGGTATAATTGATTAGAGTGGACCTGGTTATGAGATGTTAATTAGTAGTTTACTCTTAAAACTCAAATTTTGACGTAAAGGGATGTCAGCTACAAATTTGCAGTCCATTCCCTAAATGGACACCTACCGTTTAATAATACGTTACAGGGATTAATAAATTACTGCAAATTATTTTATAAAAAGTCAAACTTTTTTATTATTTATATAAATCTTTTATTCATTTCAGTCAAAAACATTCAAAAATTTAAAATAAACTGTTTTATAAACTAATAAAAAATTCTAATAAAAAATGTATAAAAAGTTGAATTTCAATAGAAATTAAGTCAAGAATCCAAAACCGCACCCAATGTTCACAATTATATTACAATTGAATTTACAAAATGACAATTCATTTGTGATTCACTTAATGTTAAGAAATAAAATATAAAAATTCATTAAAAGAGATTCAAAATGTTGTAAATAATATACAAAATGTCTTTAAGAACTAATTTACAGATCATTTGTTTGGAAGGCTTTGTCTATTAGTGGTTCATCTTTCAGATCAAATGACAACAGATTTAAAACATTTATAAATAGTGTTTATATTAATTAAAATAAAAATAGAAATAACAATGAGATTAGGCGTGAGATTCAATGCGCCGCTAAATATTGGACAGTAGGGGCACTGGTATGAGCCGCACACGTGACATACACTTAAATAATAGAGATTCTGTGTATTAAACATGGTTTCATTGAAACGCTCTGTAAGTAAAACAAAATAATTATTAGAAAACGAGAATAAAATCATTGAATTAATACATACCCGGAGCGTAATAGTCGTAGACTCGCACCGGTATATAACGAGTCAAATTAGCGACTGGATACCAACGCTGGACAGTGAATGACACACACGTCGGGTTAATATCCAACTATAGGGCAAACAAAACCATTAGACATGAAACGAAACACCGATTCAATCATGTCTTACGTAATCAAAATAAAAGACAACTTTGCGGTCGTACTGACGCGCCTCCTCTAAATTGCTCAGAGATGTCGTCTTCACAATCAGGTCTAACTCTTGCTGTTGAATCACATAACCGGTCGGAATGGTTACCTCCAATACAGTCAAACCACTGGCAGAGCTCTCCAGTGTGTTCACCCATCGCTGGCACGACCTAAACGTAATGTGAGAACTGTTTCGACCGCTAAAAGTTGCCGTTACGTCCAAATCAAAGGCCCGAACGGGCGGTTGGATCTGTAGGTGCGGCCAATCAACATTATACTGGACGTCCAACTGGACGATAGCCAGTCCCGAACCCTGTGCCTTCACAATGACCGCACCGAATGGGTTGGGAATATCAAACTCCTGGAGCTGCGAAAGATTGTCTTCTCCGATGTGAACCGTTTTGGAGAAGTTTCGAGAGGACGGCGCTTCGATTGTGATCTTAATGTCCGTCACTTCTCTGAGTCGCGACTGAACCGCGTATTCAATGAGCGCTTGCAATGCAATCACAGAGTCCTGTGTTGAGGCCCACCCGGCGTCGTACAGGCGCTGGTTGTTCAGCCACTCGACGATCTCTTTCTGAATAACTGCCTGTTTTGCGATATGAACTAACAGTCCATAAGCTGTCGTCTCAATGTTAGACGAGTCGTATTTATGGGGCAGTCGTGGCAACAAAAAGGGTCTATTGTTTTCAATTTGCGTTTTGGGCGGAGGAATGGCTTCTCGGCCCCAATACCTCATTCCACTCACTTCTCGCATCTTTTGGTCCAACAAATTGAATGCTTCATCCGTTTCCACGGAGTTAACTAAACTCAGAGCGTATGAAGTGATGGCCAACTCGTATGGGTCCTCATAATTAGTGATAATGTGAAGCATTCGCTCTAAATATCTCTGAGCGCCGGTGCGAGCGGTGGCGGCTTTAGCTCCGATGTCACCCCTCAGGTCACGCACTTCGGCCAAAGTGATCAACACATGAGCCGTCAATGAGATATTCCTGAGACTCGAGTGATCCATATATATCTTTGACGTCAAATTCATTCGCCTATTGTGTGGTATGAGTGAAGTCTCAACAAAAGCTCCTTCGGGTGTCTGGAACTTGAGAAGCCATGCGATGGCGTCCTGAATGATGTTGGGGTCGATGTATAGGAAGTTCTCCCACTCCTGAAACGTTGCCTTATGTAGAATACGGGCGCAAAAGGCAGTCATCCAAACACTGGGCTTATTATTCCAGCGGAAGGCTCTGAAAGATCCGTCACTATTCTTATAACTCAATTGTCTCTGGTATTGAATATTCAAGTATTTAAACGCCTGTTTCTCCAGATCTGATCGCCGCTGACCCGTAAGTCTCAGATAGAAAAGTGTATACATATTGATCGCAAAGTTAAACATGTTTTGTTCGGCGCAATCAAACGGCTTCCGCAACATTGAGGTCGCATTCATAGGCATTGCTGGGAAGGAGGGCCCCACCACATCCCCTACCACTGAGATCTTAGCCTTATTTGATCCAAAAACATATCGCCTTTCCTGACGGTATGGTATGATTGGACTTTCTGTGACATTAGTTTCCAAATACTTGATAAGGTATGCGCCTTGAGATAAGTCTAATACGACAGATGTGTGGGTATACTGTGGAATGCCGTCCGGTTCTACTCTCAATGTTTTGGTCACTATATCTTTGGCGACCTGTGTTTTAGCCATAACTGTGACATTGATGAGACCCAATCGCTGGGCAACTATTGGCATATAAACCACGGATGTTCTGCCCGGATATATCTGTGCCATTCATACAACACTTGTTAGTATTCATCAAATCTATTGCTAATAAATAAATACAAACCAAAATCAAGTGTTGGTGCTGTCCATAGGATGTGCGCGGATTATACGACTGTTTATATGAGAAAACAATGAAAAATCTATACCAATAATAGGGTGAGCGATGGGTCATACCTGGACTCTGCCAAATGGCTCGACGTGAACAAACTTATAGTCGTGAGATCGGGCCAACACTACAATCACTTCTATCTCATACGGCAAGTAATTAAAAATACTGATCCGTACGCCTATCTGTTCGCCAATCAGACAAACGGGAGGCATCTCTACGTTCATATAAAAGGGTCGGACACTCGAGTACTCTATGTTTGACTGTTGAATACCAAAGCCACTCGTACTGCTCATACCAAACGCATTTACAATCCAAGTGACCGGTGCATTAGGAACGGGAGCTTTGAATATATAATACCCGAGAGGCCTATAAAAAGATGACAACATTTATATAGTTTTCAAAAGAAGAGTCAAAAGTTATAAAAATATTACCCAATGTTAATGTCTTTCCAGAGCCAAGTGTTGTCATACAGGCGCTGTAATCGATTGGTACGACTCATCCTAAACTGAACCAAATTGTATTCATCCCTTTCTGCGCCTAAATTAAAACACAATAACTATTATTGTATTAAACAAACGAAACTTCTTTTTAATTAAAAATGTTTTTTCGCTCCAATTATTCATAATTAAGAAAAAGTCTGATAAAGAGATTATGGTATATATTGTGGCAAAGAATGAGATTTGAAATGAAGTGGTGCTCAAAGTCTTATTAGAGTTGGGAATGGATTGAGTAAACAGATTGATATCTCACACGAGCCCTCGTCGGTGCCATCCCTGCAGTCGTACTTTCCGTCGCAAGTCTTTGAGGAGTGATAACAGGTTCCGTCCAAACAGGAGAGAAAGCCCAGCGTTTGGTTGCAATTATCGTACTTTTGGGTCACATTAGCGTCAGTGAAGATAACCAGACCAGCGCTCTGTCAATGAAAATTGTTTTTGAATTGAAAGTCAAAGCGAATTACAATCAAAATCTGTTACTAAATATATATTAGAAATCTTTTTGAATCAATTGAAAGATTATAGAGATATAAGAAGTCTAAAGAGAAATACAAATATATTATGAATACATCAGTGCTTTGCGAAGCGAAGTCTAAGTAACTGTTTCGGCAAAAGATTATATGCTTTCAAAGAAATGATTTCAAAACGACTGAAACCCTATTTTTATGATTTGCTTTTGAATTATAGGATTCGCACAAAGACTGCCAAAAAGATAATTCAAAACTTTATATTAAATTTTTGCTGACTTTATAACTAAACAATAATCAATCGTTAGGAAAAGAAAATCATTTCATTCGTCACTTTTGTGAAAACTATTTATTTGGACTGTTAATAAAGTTTAAAGCAATTTAAGTGTTTGTCATAAATAACTAAAATTCAACAAAAAAATTATCGAGAAGTCGTTTAACGAGAATTTTGCGTTAAAAACAAATGCATGAATATGTTTGAAAATTATTGATTTTGCTGTGAATCGCGAGTGCCATCGCTTTCTTTATATAAATTATTTATCAAAACTATTGTTTCAGTCAAAAAACAGTGAAACACTTTAAAACATATGATATAATCAGTCATCGCAATCACTCTAAACTCGCTATAAATTGATTTTTTGATGAATTGTTAAAAGAGAAAATCATTTGTTATTTTGCGAAGAAAATTATTAAATAAAACAAAATGTATCTCAAAATTATGATCATTTGTTTTCTTACTTCAAACGTCTTGTTTGCGTCGATTCCATAGGAAGGCGCCGGAAAGTGAAGGAATCGATCGACGCGTCCCTCTCTGGAGAGCCAGAGATGATGAAGTGTCCCATTCCTGGCAGTGACTGATTGGTCGAAAGTACTCATCTTTCTTAAGACGTCCGCATAGTTTATTTGATTACCGACTTGTAATAGAGATAAATCTTTGTCGAGCGCTGATAGGCCCACATAAGTGCCCGGCTGTCCCAACACTACCACTTCTATTGTGTCTCCAGTTTTATCCTTTCTGTTATTCAGCGTAACTGTGAAGTTGTTTCGTGAAATGCCGTCCACAGGGAATGTCAGTGAGTCGGCCACCACTTCGCTGCCGCGGGCGATGTCGTAGATGACGATCGTAGAGGTCGGCGCCATTTCGGGCGACAGACTCACAGCGAAAGTCTTTATAGAGGACGACATCTCTTCCCTGCCATTGATGAGAACCATTCCCTTCGAGATGATTACATACGAGAATAGCTTCACGTAATAATTGGTTCGGACGTGAAATATGATATATTCGCCAACTTTTGGCTGTTTAGTAGACGTCGAGATCTGAATCAAGCGATCAGTTGGTGAATAACTAGAGTAAGCTCTGAGCTCTTGTGCGCGAATTGTGTCTCCGTTGGCATCCCTGAAGAAGGCGTCGAGAGATAAGTACTGGACGTCATCTATAAGTTGTTTGCTATTAAGTTCTTCCTTTAAGTTGATTGAGATCTCCCAAAGACCCGGATTATTCAAAGACATGGGCACTTCCATGGCTTGCAACATCTTAGAGCCGAGTCGATGGAACTGGACCTTCACCCGCACCTCCAGCTTCTCGTAAATGAGTCGATCGTAAGGTAGAGGCGAGCCGTCGTTAAACGAGACGGCGGCGTACGCTTTGAAAGGCATCGGAGGTTTGAACACTTGTGGTGAGGCGCCCAAGAGCTTAAGCTTGACTTTGGAGCTGAAGATGTAGGCGCGCGCGTGACCCGAGTAGATGAGGTTAAGGAACCGCTCGCCAACAAACGCAGTCACCGTTATCTTCGCGCCGTCCAGTGATGAGCCGCCGCCCAATTGGTCAATGACTTCGGTCATCGGACGTCGGAACTCATAATAGCCTTTAAACTGAATCATAGAAAATAAATAAATAAATGTAATAATCGTTTACAAGACTAACGACTAATAAAAATAAAACTCACATATCTTTCTGTGGTTTCAATGGCCGGGCGATCGAAATAGTTTTGGGAAACGATTTGTTTGTTGGAAGAGAGCAGAGTGTACACAATCGTCAGATTTCCGATCACTGGTATACCACTCGTGAAGCTATATATAGCCAAACATATAGATGTCATAAATCATTAGAGAAGAGGGACTCAAACGAAAAAAGTGCTAACGATTAGGACATACTTAGCCATAATCGAGCCGTAGATATAATTGTCTGTCTGGAGGAAGAACGCCGGCATCGATACGTTCACTTCAAACCTCGTCTGATCTGTTATAACAAAAATGTTTGGTTTTTGTATGAATCGCAGAATATATTCATCGAGTATTTTGTAAGAAGTACTCATTTTCTATGTTAAATGATTTATAGCTCGGAATTGATCACATAAAGTGTTAACACAAAAGATATATTGCTTTTCGATAAAAGATTTTTTTAATAAATGATTTCATAGTTATGTAAAGCGTTAAGAATCCTCTGGAAAATTATGCAAAAGTTATCAAATGTGCACAAATTGAAAATACAAAGCATTTTTCACTTACAATATTCTTCAACAGCAAACTGTTTCTCCTCAACCTGTCCCTGAGCCACAACACGTATCGTCCAATTCTGGCCATAAACCGGTTGTTGAGACAATGGATATTCAAGACTGACAGCCCCTGTGTTCAGTAAATAAGATATAAAATATGCAGACAAAAGAAAAGTGCATAAAATAGCATCAATTGATACCTAAATTGCTTTGTCTGGAAAGCCACCTCCTCATGATTGCACCCCTCGGGTCAAGCATATAGATATCGATTGCATCGGAAAACGCTTTTAAGTCGGTTGTGATAGGGATAGCCCTAAACCTGACTGTCTGTCCCTGCATATAGATTGGCTTATCTGTGGTGACAAATATAGTCATCGATCGCTGGGAAAACTCCAAATAAGTCTCGTTATAGAAGGCGGTGCCCCCCAAAACACCGTTAACGTTGCCCTCAACCCTCAGTTTATAGACTCCGGGTCTGGAAGTCGGGGGAACGCGAAGAAGTAATGTCTCGGGAATACGTTCTTTGCATTCCTGGACAGACGCCGATAACTCGACGCCATTCCTCTGAATGGATGCCCTCGCAGTTATGGGCAAATTTGATCGATAGACTGTCACCGACACGCGGTATACTTGTCCGGGACGTAAGGTCTTGGAGGCCAACACGAAGTATGTTCTGCAAAGACATGTCAGACATACGTTCAATATATCGAAAATTACTTTTGGCATCAAAACTTAGAGTTAATGTAAATTCAATGTTTAGGAGTTATGTAACAAATTGCTAATTAATTGATAGAATCAATACATGTCTCGCATTTGAGTTGAGTTTCGCTAACTTTTACTCAAAAGAAGAAGTATTAGAGAAGAGAAACAGAGTTTGGCTTAAAATCATTGCTAAAAGAAACATAAAAACATTAGTTTACATATTGTCTAAATTTCCTGAATTCTATGTAATAAAAGTCAATTTGATTATAAAGTATGCTTTTTAGACATTACTCTAAGTTTTCGTTTCACTTTTTAATATAAACTTCTCTTTAGTCATCCATTTTTCCCCTCAAATTCAGAATATTTTCCTGAAATATTGATTCACATATTAAGTCATACCTCCAGAGTCAGGAAAAAGTAATAAAATTATTTGTTATTCTCAGATATGATATGAAATGAAAAGTGAGATAACATTGAGAAGAGAGAGTGGAATAAATAGAAAGAGGAAAGAGAGCTGTAATGTGTTGGATATGGGTATCGGTTCCCAAAACTGTGTCTAATAATATAAATATGATTTGGATGACAGTCTAAACGTTGAAATAGACTTATGTTCTTATGGTATATAACAATAGATCGGTTGCGAGTACGGATAGAGAAAGGAAAGGGAGCTAACACTAGCTTATCTGCCCCTCCACTCATGGATTGGGAGTGAAAATGCATAGAAAACAATAGGAATACAACAATCTCTGTATATTAGAGGCAATGATTGCTGTCAGTCCTGATGTTAGTCTGATGTTATCATTGGGTTAGACATCGATTTTTTACAACTCCCTTAAGAAACATTTGTTGAGAATTACAAATCAAACACAACTTCTCTTCCACTCTTAAGGTCTATTCCGTGACTATTATTCACTGCTATTATTACTACACTTTTCTCATGTCTTCAAAAATATTGTAATTATTTTATGAAAAGCAAAGAGAAAATAGAGATGAATAGTGTGTGTGAATGAAGTGGAAACAGAAGTTCACGTCAAGTTATGCCATAAACTCATTGTAGTTATTGTGTATCCAATATATAATTTGTCGGATATTCACAAACATTGTTTCAATGGATACGATTCCTTGTATGGCGAAAAGTGTGAAAATTTATTTGTATAATATTTATGGTCAGTAATTGCTTTTAATCATAAATAATATAATTATGATATGTTTAAGCGTCGAATTGGGAAAATCAAAGCAAATGCACAAAAAATAATTTAACACCTTTTAGGCGATTATAGGGCGCTATACATAAGTCATATAACAATTATTTTAAAGAATTTGTGAGCAAATCACTGATCGTTCAAATTGTGATTCATTTGAGGTATAATTTAAGTGTTTAGTAAAAAATGATAGCTTTAGGGCATAAAAATACATTTCCATCGAATGCAGCATTTGATAAAAATAACAATAAATCTTTAAACTAAGAAAAAAGTAATTTTGAATAAAAGTGGGGAAATCAGTAATTTTATAATAACAGACAGAATATGTTAAAACATTTTTCCACATTTTTGATAATAAAAGAATACACAGAAAAGTGAGTAAATATTGAATGAAAAAACTTACGGTTCCTGTAGTATGAGATCGCGATTGATTTCATTACCGGTTAGACCGAAATATTTGTTTGATTGGCATTCGGACGGCTGGAAGTGCTGGACATTAAGCAGTAGTGAAACCCATATGATTGATGACAACCACATTCTGTTGCAAATAACACATCAAATATGAATTTATATATCAATTCAAGACATTATCAGTTATTGAATGTAACAAAATAATGTAATATTCAGACATTCAATACTAAACACAATTAGCCCTCAAAATAGCTGTGAGAGAGACATGAGAATCACTACTCGTGAGATGAGCAGAGAGTGAGTCTCACAAAAAATCTCATTTCAAAAGTTCGGTGTTTCTGATGCCGAGTAAGTAGTGAGTCATTTAAACTCCTTTACAGCACAGGGAGGCTTGTAATCAATTTTTTGCTATTATTGCTCTTTTGATAACATCGGAGGATTGGGGGGAAAGAGAGAGAGAGAGAGAGAGAGAGAGAGGACTACTGACTGACTAAGTGTGCGGTTATTTACATAACATACTTGAGAAGTATTTTTAAATCAAATCACTATAAGTCTCATCTTTTAATCCCATATTTTATGACATTGCCATCAAAAGCCCACAAAAATTAGCTAAGAATGAGTCCATTTATTAAACCATTCAAATAATTCACTTTCTTTCCACTAAACATATACTCCTTTTAATTTTAGGCCTCAGAAGTCATGGATTATTGTTTGCGGCAATCTTTGGTCAAAATCGATGGGAGGGCTGAATAGCCTCCTCCGCACACATTCATGCAATTTGGTGGACATAATGCGTGCAAATATGACTGACTTTGTATTAAAGCAAAGCTATTATTCAGTGATGTGTGGCTCGAGAGATGATTTCATCGGATGGGTGCCAATGGAGGAGATGGATGTTTAGATGGATGGATGGCTTCTAATCTAACGAACACTGACTCGAGTCGAGAGCACTGTATGGAAAGTCTCCCCAAACTGTAACCCACTGTTGCACTCATACTAACCATTCATACAATTAAGAACAGTATTTGGGAGAGAATTTAAGCCACATTTGGCACTAAAACTGCGGTACAAATGAATGCAAAAACTCTATGTTTTGGACGTCGAGAGTGCTGTTAGTATTGAAACGATCAACGGTTTCGATTTCAGTGATTATTATTGGATTTTTATAATACATTTAGGGCTCGACTCATATGAATGAGAGACTTGAATGCAAGTGAAGCCAACGTTTTGAATGGGGACTAAATTTAATTTTAAACTGTTTTGAAAGTTTTTGAGTTATGTATTCTGATGGGTAGTGCACTGTATACGGCACTAATTCATAAGCCGGTGCCATATATATAGTCGCACGCGCGTCAAAAACTTTTTATCCCCAGTTGTATGGGTTGGCTACCGATGTGTGGTTTATGGGGTTGTGTATGATTTTGGGTGAAAAAGCGCTCAAAAATACAATACTTGATGTCTGTGTGAGAGTTTTGGTACACAATCACAATCACACTGTTTGGGAGACCGATTGGGAGACGACTGACGACTACAACACATCCCATCCCTTCACACAATGACTACAATACTAACACCAAACAGAGGAACAGCTGTTGTAATACTCTGCAGACATTTTCGACTATTCAACTGAAAAACTCTTATCCGATCAGTATTTTTGGTAATATTTGCCTAAAGTTTATAAAAAATGATAACAAATTCTCTCGCAAATGAATACTTATTACAACTTAAGTGCACTTCAATTGAATAAACATTTATTTGTCGCGAAATTGGAAATCAGTGGAAAAAACATTAATTATAATAATTTTTTCCCATTTAAGTAAAAGGCATTCATTCGCATCGATATATTGAGAGCTTTTTATGTTTGGATTCAATACTCAAAACAAAGCCATTAACAAGAAAATGTTAATTTCTTTTATTTCATTTCCAAGACATGTCTTTTGCACAGAAAAATCAATTCACGAAAAAAACGCCAATCATTTCATTCAATGGCTTCGAGTCTTGTCTTGAAAATGAAAAACAATTTTCACTTTTAAAAGTTGAATACAATATACAAGCGATGAATATAATAAAAATATAATTATTAGCAAAATAAACGAAAATAAAATCAAAATTATAGGCAAAAGCAATAAAAAAATCTTTTATGACAACTTAAAACCATTTTTATGACAATTTATTTCAAACTAAACGTTGAAAACTAAAATATTTGAGAATTTGTTTGAATATATCCTAATAACCAGAATAAACACTACATTTCTTAATACGAAATGAAATGCAAACTAATATAATATATCACTTTAAATTGCATATTAAATGATATTTTTAAAATTACAAAAATTTTAGACAGAATCTCTAACATCCAATTGAAATGAATGCATAAATTAATAATTCATTTAACGTTATATTTATATTAGGGAAACATTTCCGAGATTTTGGTTGAATACAAATTAATGTGCAAAAAGTGTTGTTTTAATTAGCAGTATATGTAATATTAAAATAATGCAAAAATAACTTATGAATTAAATAACATTTGAATGATTTTTCAAAAACAAATGTAAATAAGTTTTAGTTTTTGTAGGAATACGTGATTTGATGAAAGATTGCTAAAACAAGCCATACCTCACATTGTAATTATAGGCTTCCCAAAGTATCCATATTAACTGTAAAACCATAACAATCGCTTTACTATCCATTTTAAAAAAACCTTTGACTACAACTCATTTATTTGATAAGACATTCATTTTTCATATCAAATGTCATTGACTTTTACTCTTTTAAATTCAAATATGAATTAATTTATTACAAAATTAAGATATTTTGTCACGAAATCGTTTCTTAGAGAATTTTCTAACTTTTCAAATTCAAAGCAACTAAAACAGTTTTAGTCAAAAATAAAAAACCTTTTCCAAAATTGTTCACCACTTTTGCACAAATTAATTCAATTATATTAAAGTCAATAATAAATTATAACAATTGAAGCAATAATTCACACGAATTATCAAATTATTTATCATTTTAATGCCAATTCATTAGTCCTTATAAACAGAAAATTTAATAGAAATATAGTAAAGGAATTGAGTCCAAGAAATGAATGCATTTCTCCATAAAAGTGATGTTTTGACAAAATAATAACAAAAGCGAAGGAAAGCATTAATTTAGTTATCATTCGTTTGACAGATATTTTTATTAATAAATATTTCCAGAGTTTAATCAATTGTTATATTTGGCAAACATTTGAATGAAGTGACAAAACAACAAATTAAACAATAATATAGTGGTAAACAATACAATCGGAGAGAGAGAGAGAGAGAGAGAGAGAGAGAGAGAGAGAGACCCCAGTATTCAAGAGATTAATGATTAGTAAAAAACTAAATATAGTATTAGAGGATAGGATGTGTCGGATGTGTTTGTGGTCTTCAACCCAATCGATACGACAGTTTGAAGTCATGAGAAGAGAAACGTTTAACTTTCAGTTCACTGTCGAGTAGTTTAACGAAAAACTAACATTAAATTTGTGAGACATTTGTCAGAAAGAGATTCAAATGAAAACTAATAATAGATTTGTATATATAATAAAATGACAAATAATGTCGTTTACGATCCAATAAATGCCAGTAAATTGTGTCCATATGTGAGATATCGGGAATCAAAGCAAACACTAACATAAACATTGGTTACGAAACTTAAACAAAAGTTTTGAAAGTATTGATAATCGTATGAACATAGCGTTGAATTCATAGATTCATAGATGACTTGAAATTGGAGTTCATTTAAGCCTTGAATGCATTGAATGGTTAAGTCAGAGGAACTAATAGGTAGAGCACGAGTGCCTATCCATCGCAGGTGTGGTATTTGCAAACACCTGCTCTCAGCCCTTATCTTTGAAATCGGAGTTCATTTAAGCCTTGAATGCATTGAATGGTTAAGTCAGAGGAACTAATAGGTAGAGCACGAGTGCCTATCCATCGCAGGTGTGGTATTTGCAAACACCTGCTCTCAGCCCTTATCTCCCATACCATACATCGCTATAACTATAGTTATATCCAATTATATCATACACTGTATATGAGGTCTACGATACGATACCTGTAGTCAAAACATTGGACTCCAAAATGTTTCTCACAATCATTTGCGAGGAATGCCTACAATGCCATATCATATCAATACTACCAGTGCTCGCCACTCACGCTATCCCACCACTATTAGGCCCATCACACACACACACCCTTTCCATCACATGCCCTCTCACAGCACATCCAATGGTGACATTATGTGGTCAATACAGATATGTATCACTTACTTGTCTTATGGCATCAAAAGTGAACAAATATTGTGAAGACTTGTATCGCACGGAAGGCTTAATCACTTCATCACTGATTGGTATAAAGGGTTTGTCTCTTATGTATCACTAATTCATTCAAATGAGTAGTGAATCCAAAAATAACACATTTCTTACGAAAACAGATCTTAAGTTTGAAACAAATGAACAAAAAGTTTTGTCATTAAGTTTGAAGTGCATTATGTAGTGCACACACACTGGCCATAGGCTTATGGGTATCGGCGCTATACATACGACTGCACCGCACAGGCTATACAACTGCCAGTGAATGGTTCAGCAATGCATTGAACGCACGGACGGTGCGAATAGGAGTGGCATTAATGGCAAACAGTGCCCAACAGTGGCACTCAAGTCAACCATATTATGGGTATTATATTATCGACACATGCGCTCTACTGGTCGCCCGGTTTTCACACTTTGTTTTCATTGCATTTCGCGAACAAATCGGTGTTCAAAACATTTGCCGTGATTTGCATTTGCCAAACATTTCACTCATACTGTCAGTGGACACACAGTACGGACACAACACATCTCATACCATCACTGATTGCCATTTGGTTTGCTTTATATCACATTCATTGGTCGGAAATGCTCATTAAAGTGAAGGTATGTTGCAGTGAATGACTCATTCATTTTGAAACACTTTTTTATCCATTCATTCATTGATTTCTCGTTGCGTTTGACAAATGGTTTGGTCTCTCGTTGTGATAGACGTTGACCGGCAAAGAGGTATGAGATATGACTGCATATGCTGTCAATGAATGCATGTATTGAATGGTGTGTTATATCCGTCCGTTTAGATCGAGATAGACATCGAGCCCACCGACAAAGTCGAGAGGATTAAGGAGAGGGTGGAGGAGAAGGAAGGCATTCCTCCCGCACAGCAACGGCTCATCTTCTCCGGCAAACAGATGTCTGTCCACTCTATACAACTGCCAGTGAATGGTTCAGCAATGCATTGAACGCACGGACGGTGCGAATAGGAGTGGCATTAATGGCAAACAGTGCCCAACAGTGGCACTCAAGTCAACCATATTATGGGTATTATATTATCGACACATGCGCTCTACTGGTCGCCCGGTTTTCACACTTTGTTTTCATTGCAAACAAATCGGTGTTCAAAACATTTGCCGTGATTTTCATTTGTCTTACATTTCACTCATACAGTCAGTGGACACACAGTACCGACACAACACCTCTCATACCCTCACTGATTGCCATTTGGTTTGCTTTATATCACATTCATTGGTCGGAAATGCTTATCAAAGTGAAGGTATGTTGCAGTGAATGACTCATTGATTTTGAAACACTTTTTCATTCATTCATTCATTTCTCGTTGCGTTTGACAAATGGTTTGGTCTCTCGTTGTGACAGACGTTGACCGGCAAAGAGGTATGAGATATGACTGCATATGCTGTCAATGAATGCATGTATTGAATGGTGTGTTATATCCGTGCGATCTCTAGCTCTATCTGTAGCTCGGGTGGCTGTTTCAGCTCTCCTAATTCCTCTCCCACCTCCTCTTCCTTCCGTAAGGAGGGCGTGTCGTTGCCGAGTAGAAGAGGCCGTTTGTCTACAGACAGGTGAGAATGACCCCATACTTGTGTCCATATATTAACCACTGTTTGTATGTCGTGTTTGACAGGAACGACGACAAGACGGCTCTCCCGCACAGCAACGGCTCATCTTCTCCGGCAAACAGATGTCTGTCCACTCAATGACCCCATACTTGTGTCCATATATTAACCACTGTTTGTATGTCGTGTTTGACAGGAACGACGACAAGACGGCACAGGATTACAAAGTGACCGGCGGTTCAGTGCTTCATCTGGTTCTGGCCCTACGCGGCGGTCACTCCACTCACTGCTAACCATCTGATTATTGATTATTTAATTTGTTTCCTAAAATAATGATTGTTTTTCCTCTCTTTTCATTAATTTTATATTTGATAACAAAAAACGTTTTAAATTTGACCCGATTTTCCACCAATTGATTGATTGACTAATTGTTAATATATTAGTGATTCTTGAATGGATGCTTAATAAAGATATTATTAAATTATTACCGGTATATACGATAATTGTGTTTTACATTAGAGATTACGCTCAGAATAGTTATCATTTTGTGCATTAAATTTAATAGATTACGGTTAGAGATAACGAGGATTTAAGTTGACATTGATTTGTTTATACCGGTACACATAATCTGACAAATCTGTTAGAGTATCAAGTATGCAATAAGTTATCAATTAGTGGAATACACGTTTAGTTCATTGTCACAGATTATGCTCCATAACAGTCCGGCTATCATACGGTAATACCATTTGATCATTGAACAAAACATAGTCTGAATTATTCATACAACTGATAAGCATTTAGTTGTTTTTATTATTAATTCGTAACAAGTAGTTAAAAATATTAACCATTTGAATATTACAAAGGAATGAATCAGTTTAGGAATCTATACATCTGAAGTATAGTCTGAGTCATGACTTACTCACTGACTTTTCTCCTGCCTTACGCACTAGACGGCAAGTCACGTTGGTTAAGGTACTGTTGGTTTGACACCTGGTGAACGGGCGGCGTGCTGAGCACCAAATCGATGCTGGCCTTCAGTGAGCCTCCCGTTGCGATCAAGTCGTCCACAATGACACACTTCAAGCCATTAGTGACGGATTGTGTCTGTATTTCGAGTGAATCGGTTCCGTATTCGAGAGAATAGGACACTTTCCTCACATGTCCGGCCAATTTGCCCGGTTTTCGGACGGGAATGAACGGCAGTTTGAGCCGTAGGGCCAGTGGTGTCCCCAACAGAAATCCACGCGATTCCAGGCCTATAATGGCTTCGGCTTTGGGCTCAATGGCTGCGATCCTTTCGGCCATTAAGTCAATCAATTCGGTGAACACTTTGGGTTCTCTCAGCACTGGAAACAAATCGCTATTCATTTGAAATAAAATCAAATTTAATAATTAAAATGATTTTCACTTTTATTCAGTTATTTATATTCGAGATATAATTGAATTCATTTAAACCAAAATGTATTAAATTATTGATTAGAGTATGCGAAGTGAGAAATGAACTTTTCATATGACAATCATATAGTTTGGCAAAAATTGAATGATTCAAAAAAGTTTAACTCATTTCAGATATAAAATACACTTATAGTGAACACCGGTTTAAGTGAATGTAAATAATCCTATTGTTTGTTAAAACATATATCGGGTACTTATGTATGAAATAATTGGATTCAATCGATGGTATAGTATTGAGACAGAGCTGAAGACATACTGAAAACATGTTTACAGATACGGTATATAGAGATAACATGGAGTCATAGAAAACAACTGAATGTATACCAGAAACAATGGTTAATTGAGATTAAGTCAAACATATCGTTATATATATGGCATATACTATCATAAGAAATGAATGGACATAACCAACCGAAATAAGATCCCCTTTTTGGGAAAGTCTGGGTAAGACTTAACCGTCTCTTTGATTCTCTCCAATCGATTATCACAACTATTATTGTTTGACATAATTATAGCAATCAATCGATTATTTGCTAACAATTTGCTGAATTGAATACAATTTAAAAAAATAATTCATATATTTATCGCTATATTATACTTACATAACTTGTTTTACACGATTTTCAGTCAGTAAACTCAGTCAGAAACCTGAGTTAACTCTAATCAAACGTTAGTTTCGTAACTTACTTTACAACTTATTAACCAACTAAACCGCCCAAATTTGATTGATAACAGTGTCGGCGGAAGTGTTACTTGTTTTTGCACTTCTTGTGTTTGGGTCCGTCCGATGGGCGCCGACTGTCCTCATAGTCGTAGTGGTCGTTGAGGGCTGTCTTCGGCACAGTCTTGTGTTTGGGTTGGGATGTCATCTGAGGGCTGGCAGTCATTTGGGGCACCACTTCGCCCGCGATCTGAGCGCTCACGGCCTCCGGGTTGGGCTCCGTCTCGTCGTCAATGATTTGCGTCAAGTATTGGTTCAGAGATGTCTCCAATCGGTTCACACACTTCTTCAGCGACGACAAGTGAGAGATACCACCCTCTGAGGCGCCATCGCCTCCCACTCCCATCGCGTCCATCGCGAAGGTCTTCTCCACACGTTTGTTGTCTGTCTTACTGGTGGTGACCACAGTGGCCGACACCCGACTCGACGACTCGCCACTCATTTCTGGCCACAAATTGTCTCACAATTCAGATGCAAATCAAACCACAGATGAGATGAATGTCGCGTTTTGTGTGAGCGTTGGCTTCACAACAAATGGTTGAGTCCTCACACCTTATGTCCATATATTATGTCTCGCATTCATTGCCATCTCTTTCGCCCCCTTGCAGTTGACAGCCATTCAAATGCAATGATTAATGGCTTTTCGATGACAACGATTTTTCGCCAAATATTTATTACCATTGCTTATGATTTGGTGTCTATTTTTGATTACAGCTGTTGTCATAATATTGCATTGCATTTAAAAAACATGTTTTTCTCATCGTTTCCAAAACTTTTATAGTTTGCGAAATTATCGTTTAATTATCGATTTAAATGATTTCTTAATTCACAATGACTTTTAACATGAGGGGTCACCACTGCAGACCTACTTCTTTGTCTTGTAGTCAACTTTGAGGACTTTTATAGGAATTTAAGCGGTTTTTATAGATACATGAAAGTGGCATGGTTATTTTGTTAATTTCTATGTAAGAGTTAAATTGTATTTATTGAGTATTTTAAGAGTTGCCAACTAATCCTAGTTTGTGAGCCCCCTTTAAAAATATAGATCACTTTATATATACTATACATTGATATTGATTAATGACTTTTGCAATAATAAAATTTAATATAAAAGTTTGTAAATAATATATAAATTAACAAGAAATAAAATCTTTAAAAATATTTATCATATTAGTTAGTACAATTAACGAAACAAAACTCGACTTAAAAATAACGTTAATATAAGTCAAGTCAAATCGTGAATTAGAAATAGTTTATAGTAATTACAAATTAAACTTATTGTGAAATATCGACCCATCTATCTGTCAATACAGAGTACACCTGTATTTAGTTTAAAGAATTTTTAAAGGAAAATATTTAACTATATATAAAAGTATTTAAATGTTATCATTTACACTGAGCATTAATTTATAATAATTTACTTTTTACTTATTTTCTCGATTGTATCTAAATTAGAAATATTAGATATAAGCGAAAGACGTCTCATATAAGTAGCACTAGAAGCAGGACTCAGTAGTTGTGGCCTTATTTTGTTGTCATCTCTGTTTGACAGCCGAGAAAGTGCTGAACCATTCCTATCACCCGTTGACACCTTTGATGCCCGCCTTTTAGACCGTATATTCTGTTTAATTGCTTCTCTGTTTATTATCTGATCCCTTGTTACGCTATTTCGTAAAATTGTCTACAAATAAAAAATCAATCCATTATGTATTCAATTTACTAAAAACTAATATTTATGCAGATTTACAGTATGGCTACTGACTTATTATAAGTTATTGCAAATTGTACCTGGTTTCTTTCTTTTTCGACAAAAGCATTTTGTAATATTTGACTCATTTTACGAGTTTTATTCGCATTTCTCTCCTCTTTTGTCATAGATTTCCTCTTCAGAAACCATAAAAGTTTGTATTGAGACAAATGATTGAGAATAGCATCAAACTTTCGTTGAATAGGATGACAAACACCCTGTTCATCATCACTTGTCTCTTCGGACGACTCCATCTCTAACTGTGAATCGTTTGAAACACTTTTCCTGCGATTACTGCAAATATTGAGATAAAAATCATACTCAAATCTAATGAATTTTATAACATTATAACATTTCATTACTTATTCGTGTCTTGGGAAAATCTTTCACTCTTATCATCGCTTCCGAAAAGTTTCTCCATTTCCTCCCTAAAAAAGTTTATATCGAGTAAATGACATGAAATGAGAATAATGTCGATTTCAATGTTAAGTTTAGATCATAGAGATGGCGTCAACCTATTTATTAAAGCAGATTCTTATGCTATTTTCAACACAAGTAGCTCTTTATATGATTCTTTGAAATGATTAAAGAATATTCATATAAAAGTGAGTTCTATATAACATTAGAATCATAAATGAAAAATAGTCTAAACTTTATGTAAGTTACGTTCAACTAAAATGATTGAATACTAAAGCATAGAATTCTTACTTTAATATTAATTTCTGCAGAGTTTTTTCAATTCGTTGTGAGTTGTTTCCATGAGTTAAGTATTTTGTAACATACTTTTCGTTGATTTTAATAAGTTTTTTCTGTAAGAATTTAATAGAATAGAGAAGAAACATAAAGTACAAATTAAATTTAATCGAAATAGTTGATAAAAATAGTTTGTATAACAAATAAAACTCAAAAATTAAAAATTTTGAAATTAGGTAAGAATATTGTTTAAGTCTATAAATTAGTTAAAAATATTAAAGCGAAAAGAAAATCTGTTAAACTAATTACCGTCCAGTAGTGGTTGAATGTATAAACTCCTGGTTTTAAATTAATGAAAAATATTAATACAGTGATATAATTTGATTTACAAAGATTTTTATTATTTAAAATTGTGATAGCTTATTGTTTTATTGTGTAATACAGTACATATATTTGTATTAAAGCTATGAAAAGCTTATACCAAAAGCAAATACATGTACAGTATATATGATATAAGAAATATATTCTGTACATACCTGTGATGTCTGACACACCAAATGCAATGTTTTCAATAAACTTTGGAAAAGAGATTAAAATTAATCTGGTATAAATAATGTTTTATAATTAGATGACATATACCTTAGCATTAATCAAATGAAACAGTTGTGCCTCTTCTTTCACCTCTTTTCTAATTCTCAGATAATTAAGTAATGGTTTAGTTGTGGCGCCCTGAAAGGGATTAAAAACATTCAAAATTAAAAATAAATTAATATTTAATTTGTTTAATAAACTCCTTCAATAAATGTTTACTACTTTAGGCATCTATATTATTTATAAATGCTATTTATATTTATAAAACTCTATTATATCTGAATAACATTAATTAATATTTTATATGAATAGTATAAAATATAATATATATTATAAAATTTAAATTACTGATAAATATTGTATAGAACAGTTAAAAAAATCAAATAAAAGTATAAAATGTATTTACCAAGATAAATACAGTAAATAAGATGACAAACAAAGTGGTGGTCTTAAGAAGGGGTAGATTTTCAATTCCCTTCTCGTCTTTGAGGACAGCAATCAGAGCGAAAGCAACGGCACCTCTCAGTCCTCCGTAAGCCTATTAAACAAATTCTCATTGATTTCTACATTTTTTCATAATTTCTCATTTAATTAATGTTTATACTGATGAATGAGTGCCTCATTATGTGTGTTTGTGTTGTATAAACATATGTTTGACTGTAATAGTGATAATTTATTGCCTGAGCTCTGCCCAGACATCGACCCATTGATCAATCATTTACTGTATATGAGAATCACAAACGGATTAATTTGGACGACGTTTGGATTTATATACAGTGTATATAATTTATATATATATATATATATATATATTTATATACAGTATATAATACACACTTTTTGCCCGAAGGACTGACTCACAAATGAAGTCTGAATCTAACATTTTATATATAAAACCATTGTTTTTAATGAAGCACTCAATCCAGAAAAGTTTTTATTGAAATATGTGGGCAATAAATACCATTAGTATTTGTTCTTCAAATTTGATGGCCGGTACTCTTTGCAGAAAATTGTTTAAAATGAATGTCAGCACAAAAACGCCTACAAATACAGGGTAGTTATCAGTAAACTATTGAATCAATACAAATGCTGGACTGTATTCAGAGTTATAGAAATGGTTGGAATTGTGAAATTTTGTGGTAATATTGTGGCAATACTATTAGTAAATTTAGTTTTAAGAAGTTTCTGAGAATTTATTGAATAATAGGAAATTCTACATCACTTGTCAATATAGCAGCAATTTATTATTGTATATAACTAAAGGCTGACTATTCTGTAAATAATTGAAATCAATAGAAAGTATGGTCAAAATATTTGTTCAAGAATTTGGTTGTTATACTCAACATTTCGATAGAAATTCAGATATTCTTAAAGAATTTTATTTTATGTATTAGTTTTAATTCAAATATAGCTATACTGTACTTCTGTTTGCAAAATTAATTTAATTTATGTAAATAACTACTCATAAACTCGTAAATTGATAATAATGTAAATATATGAAGTTGAGATAAATTATTAATTTAAATCTAAATTACATCTATAACTAGTTATTTATATGCTAAATAAAATGCATTTTTCTATTATTGTCTTTATTTCTATAATTTTAATCACTCGGAATTAAAACTTTTAATTGCAAAGTTATATTACCAACACAAAACACTATAATATTTATACAAAAGTATTAATTAAAATGAGATAGCAAAGATATAAAAATGAGATAACTTACTGACAAAGCGATAAATGAGACAAAATAGTAGTGAGAAGAGAGCGAAGGCTGTATTCCAGACCAGTTTTTCGGTGATAAGCATTGTCCCCAAAAAGTAAAATATCAATAAATCCGAAATTGTGCTGAAATTGTAATTATATGTTGTTTAATAAATATATTTCATATGAAATTATAATCAATGTCAACACAAACTAAAAGAAAATTTTAGAAAATTTTTCTATATTATAATCCAGTACTTAATGAGAAAATATTATTTTAATTATTTTTTGAGATCTCTTTCTCGTCTGCATTATCCGTATATTAATTTTAATTATAGTGTTGTGCTTAACAATTGCTAACTTAAAACATTTTGTAAAATAAAAATAAAAATGGGAATCAAAAAGGATAATAAATAGTATTAGTCTGGAGAGCAGCAAATAAACATATCATTAATTTATTTATATAACATATATATTATATATAATAAAATGCATTCATTAGTAGAGCTCAATGTCTAGAAATGGTCGCTAAATACAAAACTAATGAAGGATTTGAATGCAGAGAAAGAAAGCTTTTACACGAAATCTATTTATTCTCAATGAGTGCTCAAAAGAGATTTGTGAGAAAATTGAAATCACTTTTCACATCAATTTCATTTAATCAATATAATAGTAACCTTAAAGTTTTTGTGAAATATTTCACAGTTGTTCGCGATTTTTTCGATATATTTTTAAAAGTGTATTCAGCTTGGACCTTTAATTAATTAATATAAATTAATACATGATTATTGAATGCAATTATAATAGCATACGAGTCCGCATCCAATTAGACTAATTAGTCCGGAAAAGTGGACGATTTCAGCGCATATAAAGCCCATGTATGCCATCGTCACGACTATCATCGGCTCAATGACTTAAGAAATGCAAATTCATATGGTATTAGTAAATATGACTTTCAATAAAATAATTATTATATTGCATATCCCTTTATGTATAAATATAAAAATAACTTATAGCTTAAAATAACTACATATTCAACATGACCTGTTTAGCACCTGACGATATTACACTGTATATACATTAGAAATTTGAATCAAATAAATTATTTTCTGTGAATAACTTTTTTTTTGAAGAACTTGTGTGTAACTAACATTTTGTCGTAATTTTATTAAAATCTCTTTTATAGATATTAAATAAGAGTTATATATAAGTTAGCAGCAATTCTATATAAAAGTAAATATAATTTATATAATCATTAGTTTAAATAAGATGACAAACAAAGTGTAATACCCCTGACATGAGTCGTTTTGAGTGTTATTAATGACGTGAAGACACCAAAAAAGACTCCAATGAAAAATCCGCCAAAACTGACCAAAAAGAGTGATAGGAAACCCTTTAGGAATTCCATGGCCGCCACACTAGTCTGTCCTAACATTGAGCATAATATCCGGTGCACAACGATTACCACAGCATCTGATAATACAAAGAATTGTATTTAAAATTTAAATTAATTTCACTTAAATTTGAGTTACCATTGAGAAGGGATTCACCGAATACCAGGAAATACAGAGATTTATTGACTGATAAATCTTGAAATATGGCCAAAACCTAGAAAGTGGTTTTAAGTATAATATGAAAAAATTATCATTAGTTATAAACATAATTACAGAAACGGGATCGACAGCACTGATAGCGGTGCCGAAAACCATTAGCTCCAGGAATGAGATGGAAGGGAAAGCCAACCATTTGAATGGTATTAATTTAATCAGAAACAGTGATGGACCTATCAGGGCTATGTTGATGAAAGTACCCTTAAATACAATGATTTAATTATATTATTAATTGTGGAAAGTTAGCAAAAATGGTAGTTTCAATAAGAAATAGTCAAAACAATTACTATAACTGCAAAAACCAATATTGAGCCCAAGTTTGTGAGGAATGCGATGTCATGCAAAGAATAGGCCGATTCCAGGATTATTCTACAGTAAACACAGATTGAGTTATTTTATTAAAAAACTATTGTTTGGATATAATGTGTTTCATATGAGTCTTACGGCGGAAGTAATACAAAGAAGAAGAGGTCGACAGTAAATTGAGGCACTTGTTCAGAGGCTTTCAATGAATAACTTTGATTTAATAATAAAAAACTCTATATTAACTTTATTACTAAAATAATTATAACAACTACAATATTATTAGTTGTAATAAAAAAATATGATTGTGTCGGGCATTAACTTACTGTATTATTGAGCCAATAGTCAGTCCCAACAGTATAAGTATGCTATGAGTGCCACAAACAGAGACAAAGAGAATATCATTTGAAGTTAAATGAAAAGAGAGATTAGTTTCGGGGAGTCATTCATACCACGACTCCGGGATAATATTGTTTAAAAAATTGCTGAAATGATAGCCAATCTTAGCGATGGCTGCGATCAATAGGAAGAGACAGAAGAGCCAAATATTCTTATTCTTATCCCAATCCCAACCAATTAAGTGAATTCCTTCGCTCTTATGGTTTGAATTTGCTTTCTGTGAGGACTTATCGTTGGACTGCACTAACGATTTGAATGTTTCCAATTCATTCACATTTTCAATGTCTTTTAAATAAATGAAAATAATTTTTTTGTCAGTAACGAGTGTATGGAGTTTTGGGAAAAGTGCATATATTTTCATTACACCTTTGAATAATGAATTGATTATTTTTTGAATAAATGTTTTTAAAACTATTATTTAGGAGATAAGTAAATTTACATGAAAATTCAATTTAATACACAAAAAAGTGTTACGAAAAATGTATAGATTCAAACGTTTTATGAATGCAAAAAATTAAACGAAAATTGATTTAAATATTTATTGAATAAGATATCGGCCTAAACTAGAAAACTGTTTAGCATTCAAGAAAATTGATTTCATTTTGTATGCAATATAAAATATGCATTAAAAATGCTATTGTAAAGAATGTTTTCAAATATACAAGTCTCATGCAAAATGATATGTAATTAATATTGGTTAACATTATATAACAGAATAATTTTCTTGAAAACAACATTTTAATC